TTTGCATAGAGCTCTACATAATGGCAGAACTCAGGGTCATCCAACAAAGCCTTGTCTGTTGGAAGTTTCAATAGCCCTTCTGATTCCCCTTTTAGCAGCTCCCTGGTACCATAATAGTTAATGGCTTCACATGAATTCTAAGGATCTATATATTTGAGTAAGAAAGAAACATAATAGCTTGCCAATCACAGATTTGATCTTACACAAAGTATGAGTTATCGAACTTCAGTGGTTCATTGGTCCAAGGGCCATCAAAACTTGATCTCTCTGGATGAGCCCTTCCCTATAACACCAAATCCAACACAAAAAGTCTGATGTTGAACCTATAATCAACAAATGCAGACCTTGCCAAAAGCATGTAAAGAAAAGTACCAGAGTGTGACCCCCAGATAATGCCACAATATCCTTGTCAGATAGACCCATTCGATAAAAGATATCCCTCAGATGAGGTGCACCTAACACAAGGATTCACAAAAAAAAAAAAATGCAGAATTTAGCACCGTATAACTTTACTCAATGGAAACATAAGATACTCAAAAATGTTTGCTGAACTCATGGATTAATGAATTGTATTTGGTTTCTACTGATACCTTATTCGGTGCAACAATTGATTGCACGATTACTCCAAAACTCATTACCAAGGAAAAAACCAACAACAATTTGTTGAAATTTTGTCTATTTTAGTTTCTAGAAACAACAGAATGATTGGTTAATGAATAAAATGAAATGTACCAAGACAATCTCCATTTGTATAGCATACTGATCAGATGTAACTATTATTAACTAATCTAACTGGTGTCACCTGACCAGTATAGAAGAGGCTCATAGGGAACAGCTTGCTGCTGTCATGAAGACTTCCAGTGACTATTGTCCCTTACTCCCATTCCTGGCTCTAGACAGAAAAATCACACCAGTAACTTGTGGACTTGTTTCGATTGGTGGAGTCTAAAACCACCAAAAGAAAGCAGTGAACGTCTGGTCAAGACTCCCAATCCAGAAATTTATTTGCCAATATCCCAATAATTTTAAGAGCAAGATCCAAGCTAAACTAGGGAAATAGAAGGTCACAGGGATAACCTTTTGATCTGTTAAGAGTAACCTATGCTCCATCCAAAATAAGCATTCTTCAAGAGAATATTTACTCTGACCAAGTGACAGCAATAAAGGCCTAAAGTACATGATTTTTTCCATCATAATGAGTTATGACAACACTATAGTCATAATATATTCTACGAAGCTCATATTTAGTTCATTAGAACTGCAAAAATCAGGGTAATTACAACACTACAGCCATTAAGTCACACAAATATTAGCCATGAGACAATGGTAGCATGGTGCCAAATGCCCTCATCTCTATCTCTTCACCTGGTTTGAGGAAACAAATTACAAAGAATGCTAAAAGTAGCGAAAGCTATGACTGGATAATTAGATAGATCATCTGACTATCAAAATATACAAATCTTCGAAGGCCACAATTACCCAGATTTTAGAATTTCCAGTGTGTTGAAATCAGAAATTCAAGTTTTTAATTTCATAAATGGCTTCAGAAATTTATATTACCTTTTTTAGCATCTGGAAGTCGCCCTTCCCTGGGACAACTGTTTGAATCCTATTAAACAGAACAAAGTCAATCAAATGAATTAAATAGGAAACTACATTTGCAAGAATACACCACTATAACATACCTTTCTGCCCGGTACAAAGTCAATAGTGGGACCTCCAGTGACTTCAACCGCAACGACACCCGCAAGCTAAAAATGAAAATGATACAATATGGTTCACTCATCATGCATCACATAGTCCACAACTTTGATTTTAATCTAAGTGCAGTAATTCATGTAAGGACCATGGTGTGGCACATGAAGAACACATTCAGTTAAGAAACAGAGAATTGCTTCCATAAGTGCAACAAACACTCTCAAATTCCACAACATCTCTGAACGAATTTCTTATTTGATTCTGGTTTCAATGTTTCTACCACTTAATATATAACCTTTTCTTTTTTGGCTATTTTAACACCATATTACAATTACCAGCTTCTTCTATCTTTTTAAGCACCACCAATCATCTCAACAACTAACTCTCCAAGATCTTTCATAATAGAACTCTATTAGGACAATCATTTATCCTACGTAAGTATTAGTTTTACATAATAGTGAATTTAGCCCACATACGCTATTATAGAGAGAATCTAGTAAATTTAATTAAATAAACCATAAGCCTTCCTCTGAGGAATCTAAACCGCAGACCTTTGCCCCGAACACCAGCATGGATTCTAGATTCAGTTTTTGGATCTAATCAGCAAGTAAATGTTTCTTTATTTCTGTGATGAATTTGTGCTCATAACAGAAAAGAAACAGGTTCTTTCTCATATAAGTCCAGCAGCAGGAAGCATGCAAGATATCCTTTAAAAGGAAAAAGACTTAAATAACTTTAGTTTGAGAAGAATTTTCTCAAGCAACATAATCATGATTTCTTAATGCTCTATGTTTGTCTTTTAATTTCCTCATCACAGAATTCTTTGTATAAAATCAAATAGAATATACTGTATAATTTTTGATTCCCCAATGAAGAAATTAAATCTCAAATAAAATGCATGCTAACTCTTTCAACTCCATAATCACCTGATATAGGTCTGCATACGTGATCTTAGGATGTTTAGCCTTCACTTCCTCTGAAATGTGAAAAAGAAAATACTCTTTGGTCAAAATAAATAAATATATAAATAAAAAACTGTTTTAATTTTGAGATTATTCTAACATGAACTAACATACAATACATATGAAGATATGTTACATGCATGAAAATACAAAAATGTAGTAATATATCCTCAAACACTTGTTAGCAATTCAGACTCAGACAGAAGCTGGGACAAAATTTGCACCGATGAATTGCAAAGATTCATATATTTCTACCACCTTCTTCTGATGGAGGAGACAACCGACAACCAGACCATAGAAGTTCACCTTCAAACCTAATGGAACCACACAAGTTCAACCTTAAATAGTGCAATCAAAATAAGATCACCCAATCACTTTGAGCCTATAATATCTTCCATTTTTTGCAAAACGAGCATACAAATTACGGTACCCTGAACTTATCTTTTACTAAGCAATTTGTTCATATCTGCCGTACTCCCTGTCTAACAATCATGTCAAGCTCGTATTTGAGATTTTGGAACAAATGATTCTGTTGTTAAACCCAAAGTCAACACCACTCACCACCATACTTGCCACTCCTGCTTCCACCCCTAAGATTTCTAACCTTTAAAACAAGGAAAAGAAAGTACCCTTTCTAGTAAGTGAAAAATTAACAATTATTCCAGCATTCTAGATTCTAAAACCTCTCTATCAACATGATGACTTGAAGCCATAGCAACGCTGCTCCTACTTCTCATACCTTTAAATTAGAATCATTACCATATCTAGGGTAGTGGAATCTAAAAACTCAACAAATGATATTAAATGTTTGTCACATATCGGTTTAATTAAATATGTTAACTCCATCATTCAAAATTGATTAACTTCTTTATAGTTAAATAGACAAATGAGAACATAAAAGTCACTCGTGGAGGTTGCAAACTCACTGCTGCGGATAGGATAATAATCTTTAAGATTATGTTGAACTAATTGATCTAGAATCTTCCAATCTTGAAATGCTCGCTACTTAATTAATAGTTAAAGCAACTTTTCCACTTAAGAGCCGTTTATGGTAACCCTGATTCTACTATGGCATTTGATTTTAATTACAATTAACAAAATTAATCCATAAACATTAACGCAAATTTATACTGGTAATAATAGTGCGATGGTTAGATTAAGGAACTAAGATATGTTTTAAAGAAAAGAAAAAGAAAAAAGTGAATCTGACCACAAAAATCAATAGCGATTTTCAAGCCACTATTGGAGCCATGAGTGTACTCTTCTTCATTCCTTATGGAGCCATTTGGTCCACCGGTCTTGGTGTTGACATCGTACGTCCCTGCGTCGTGCCACCTTCAAGAAAACAAGACAGAAAACGGAAAATCAATCAATTCAAAAGTAGAATTTATCATTTAACAATATTTCATTGCTTCTATTTTCCGGTGTATTTCTTCTTTCTTGATTACTACTAAAGTCGATTTTCTTCTCATATTTCTTGCGTCTTGACTGGAAACAAACGAAGTAGAAGAAGAAGAAGAAACAAGAAATACGCTAAGCGAAGCATGATAGGAGCGCAGTTCTTGGAGGCGATGAGAGCGCGAAGGTCGCGACGAGCTTTCTCGATCTCCTTAATGTACTCTGTATTGACTACAGGAAACGCCATTGAAATCTTTCTCTCTCTTTTCAGAGTATCAACTATCCAACTAATTTTGCTAGCCTTTCCTGAGGATAGTGAGGAAACCAAATGGTCAAGACTGGTTAAAACTGTAAAATAGAAATAGAAGTAGAAAATGGAGAGGACCGAGGAATTCTTTTCACCTTTTGGTTTGTTTTCTAGGATTTCGTAAACGAAGATAAGCCGATGAAACGGGATTAGATATGGTCTGACGTGTGAGAGCTGCGATCCCGTGTGTTCATGCTCATTTTAAGACGAGTGAGCTCACAGATTTTTTTCTTTATTTTTTATTTTGCCCATTAACTTTCAAATGTTAATTTAATGTTCTCAAAATATTCTTATGATATTACAATTATAACCATAAAAATACAACTAAATGAATTTCTGTAAGAGATGGCCACTTTGGGCCACTCCTGCTTCCCAGCTTATCAGGGCAAGACTGTTTAACATTTGTGCCTCCCACTCCATGAAAGAAGATCAGCACTCTTTGCCGTGGTGCGGGCTAGTCGCCGGGGGCTTACCCCACTCCACCTACCAATCTCGGCCCAAAACCATGAGTGCTTTGAACTGTATAATGGCATCCAATCATAACGTTTTCATGTCTTTCTTGCAACAATTGTATATAAGTTCAAGGCTACAAGTTGCGGGACCCGAGAAGTAAAACGTATGAAGACAAAGCGAGCTCAAAAATAGAAAGCGTCGTCCTCCGTAGTTGGTGCTATTATTACAATCATGTACAGAAACAAACAAATAAAATGACCTATAATGTTGAAGACAGATTAAGAAATGGCTTGCTGTGGTGCAGTAAATCCTCAAATTCAGAAAAATCCAACAATATTCAAGGGTATAAAAGAAAGAGATACACTAAGCTCATTTAGTTCTCCATTGCAACTCTATCTGGATCCGTCCATTCTTTGAGTCTATAAGATGGTATCTCTCATTGATTCTTCTGTTGCTAACAACATCGGCAAGATTGATGTCGATATAACCTAGTGATTCCTGTTCGCGGGAAGAAAATCGGTCAACAGGTAATAGCAAACTGGGATAACAGTATACTTATATATCCAAATACACTATCAACCAACCATATCACAGAATTCAACCAGGCCCCAATAAAGAGAAGTGCCAGCTTACTATTTTTCCTTGTGAAAATAAAACAGCAAAAACTTCCTGACAACAACCCATGCTAATCAAAACATTTTAAAGTTCAAACACAAAACAGAACCACAACGATTTTTACAATCTAATATCTATATAGACTTAAACTCTTCATGCATTCAAAGCGCAACCCTCAAAATAAACAGTAGTATTCGGGTACAATCCTCCAAGTGCAAATACAAGGAAGAGCACTATGAAATATATAGCACTTAAGAGTCAAACATTAGTCCATGTCCAACACCCAAATCCAAGTCCAAGCAACATAGTTAATGCAAGTATGCCTGCAAAATGACAGACTGAAATCTGGCAAGTATACTGAGTTGAAAGAGATATTTGCTACACAGCATGCAAGCAATGTTGCAACCAGTACCTTAGGGTGCAGCAGGCCTATCCTTGATGAACTGCTGAGAACTTCCACATGCAATTTATCATTAGTGGGAGGTTCATCTAACATAAATGTAAACTCCTCTTCCCATCTTGGATCTCTGTTTCTCTTTACATGCTGCACCAATAAAATTACAAAACATGTCATTTATAGGAAATACAAACAACTGACAAACTCTCAATAACCCAATTATTCAACATAAAAGAAAACATGAAACACTAAAAGGATTCCCTCCACAAATGTTGCCTTGCTGTTCAATATTTTCTTCATCCAGTTGAGTTGATTATTTCTCGACAAAAGAGAGTTACCAACTACCATCTTTGATTCTTTTCCATAAAAGATAAAATTAGTAACAGAAAACAGAAGGTATGAATTTGGAAGAAATCAGCATGCTCCCTATTGCAAACTACCAAGACCAAATTAATATGGAAGGAGCAAAATAAATACAGGCAAAAGTTAAAACAGTTTAACAAGAGGTTTTACAGGTAGGAAGTCTTTCAAAAAATAAAACCTAGAAACTTCACAAATCAAATTAACAACTAAAAAGGGACATACTAATTTCTCAAAAGAAAAGATAAATTAAAATGCTAATGTCATAATATACCTTAGTCTTTTTATCCTCGCCTCTAAAGAGAACCCGCACGTATGGATTAGTGTGGTGCTTTCCTTCAACATCTTGTGCCTCATGGACTATGACTACAAGCACACCTCCTCCGTCAGGTGTATCCTCAGGAGCCTTCTGCACTGTTTTTGACTCCTCAAAAGTTTTTGGTATTTCATCATCTTTTAAGGGCGTATATGTTAGTTCCATCACAAGCTGCCCACGTGACTTCTCATTTTGAGCATCATTTAAGTCCATATTTTTAAGGAGTTCAAGGGTCATAACTTTTGGCTCCTCAGGAGTAAGTTCTTTCAAAGGAACCACATTCATACCCATCTTGTCGTGCTTACCAACCTGAGAAAGAGAACACACATTTGATGTAACAATACAAGCAAAACATTGAACTTCAAATCAATAAAAAATTTGGAATACTTACCTGCTCCCAGTCAAAAACATTAAACTCTAAAGCCTGGGTCTCAGGATCTTTAACAACCATATCAAATTCCTCATTCCATTCGGGGTTTAAGTTCTTGTGCTTCACAGTGGTTTTCTTAGATGAAAGCTTATCCTCAGTTAGCTTTAGTTTAACATAAGGGTCTGATGCACCCAAAAGATCTTTCTTTCTTAGCTTCATTGCCCTTACAACTTTCACATGGAGAATTCCTACAGGTCTCTTAAAAGCTCTGTAAGTTCAAACGGATTGATTAGCCAAGACCAAAAATGTGAAACTAAAAAAGGACAACATAACTCATAATAATATATGAGAACATCTTGGAGCATACTTTGCTGGATCCAGAATTGGTACTTGCAGGGTTTTAGGCCAAAGATACATGTTTGCAACCTGATCTTTGATGAGCTCCTGCATTACATCCCTTTATTAACATTCAAAGCTATGAACTACATAATTCATATAGACAAAGCTTGCTGGGGCATTAATGAGAAATTTTTTCCTATGTCTGCAAAATATATGATCTCATCCTTCAAGAAGTTAGCATAGATAAAACCACCACCTAAGAGAGGTCTACTAACTTCTATTGATAAAAATTGTGCATTCATAAAAAAAAATAATAAAAAAGGAGGTAAAACAGATTGCACTTTTGGTAAAAGAAATGCAATTTCAAACATTTAATAAAGCCTCATATAGCAACTACCCAGGTGAGAAAAAAAACATTATATGGAATTTTACCTGGACAAACCTGTAGAGACCAGGTATTGACATGAGATCAGCCCCTATAAGCTTCAATCCAAAGTCAATATGGGGCTGCAGATTAGAAGACATATGATTAAGAGACAAGAGAGCTAATCACCAATCATCCAAAAGTGAGAGAGAGAGAGAGAGAGAGAGAGAGAGAGAGGCAATACATCCCAAAGAGAGAAAGATAACAAATACATATAGGGTAATAAAACAGAGGCAATGCGATGGTTCTCCCATTTCCCGAATATAATTTGCACACTTGATACTTTAGTCCTTCATCAAGGGTGGTCTAATGCTTTTACAAGAATACCTGAACATATGAACTGTGAACATTACCTCAACATCCCTATTAGATAAGATAGTGTTGACAGCATTCCCAGGGGAAGCTATGATTTATTTTTTTTAAGGCTAATTGGGTTTGTAACAAATTCAGAACTATCAAGTGCTTAATACCAAAGGTGCAAGGGAAAAAAATTATTTGATAAATTTTGGCAATTCAAATATCATTCCAAAACTCAATAACACTTCCATCATGAACTATGAAAAACATGATATCTTAAAGTGGAAACCTGGCCCTAGTGTATAAAAGTTCCCATTTGATACAAAATGAGAGTATTCTGCCTTCCTTCGTAGCATATTGAAAACCATTCCATTTTCCATTTATTTATTTACCTACTAAATACATGTCCAACAAAGGGCACATTTGGCACATACTTTATTTGGATACCCATGCATTTTGTAATTATAATGTTGATGCATCAAAGATCTAAATAAACGAAAGAATGTAATTTCATCCATAATCTCAAACCTTCTCCATCAAGGACACATAGATATTTGCAAAACACGGAAAGCTTGGGACCAAAGGCTTCAAGGTAATGCGCGGTAGAGCAAACACTTGCAAATCCACTACCTGAAATAACCAAGCAACATACATTTAACAAACAACCTCCTCTTAGTTCTCCAGCAGAAGTAGTTCAGGGTCAAAAGATATTCCTTGTTGTTGTAGGAGAAAATAACAACCTGAACAGTTGCCTTCAGTCCAAATGCTTTTACAGCAACAATAACATTAGGATTTCCAGCCCACTTTATCAATGGTTCCATGATTAATTCCTTCTCTTCCGTGACATAAACCTTCATACCTGTCAAGGAGAAGAGGAGCAACAAGATCAGTGCAAAATCTGAATGAAAAAAAAAAAAAAGAAATCAACTAGATCAAAACAGCACAAATATAGCTTTTGATCTGAAAATCTAGGCTTGTCTAATGACTTAAGCATCAATCCTTTATGGTGGGAATATGTTGTTTGCATCTAAAACTCCAGAACCTACTCCTCTAGTTTGGGGGGTAAGGTAAAGAGAACAGCTACCTTTTATTGTGTGGCTCAAAATTTATCTCGGAATGCAGAGCAAAATATTTGAACTAACATAGATAACTACATTATCTTTGTCTTTTATGTGACATGCTGACTTCTCCAATAATTTAGCATACATCATAGCAGTAATTCCTAGAAAGTGGCATTCGAAAATAATTATTCATGCTGAATACAATACAATTTATGCCATCTCCAATACCTATTTGACATTACCAAGAAGAGTTATCAAAACTTATCCAGCTTCTCCTGGCAATACCTTTCTAAATAAAAAGAAAAGTAGCATAGCATTTGCAGCTGGTAGAACAACCATTGAAGAGTAATTGATTGACTAACCTTGGAAAGTCGGTGGCAGAGATCCTAATGTAAGTGTTTCAAATTCAATGGCGTCAAATTTATATTTAGGAATTTGCTCCTCAATTATGGGTTTGGCAATATTCTTGGCGGTCGTACAAATGGCCTTAAAAAGATTGAGTAAATGAAGAAAGAGCTCAGAACAAACATATTAAGAAGCATGAATATACCAAGAAAAGACAACTGTTAGTGGGGCATAGAAGCCAAACCTTGTCAAGATAAGGCCACAAATACTCCAAAAACTTGTTTATCCAGTCAACCTTCACATACAACACAACAGAAAAAAGGCAGTTTTCAGAATACAAGCAGTAAACACATGTAGAAGGACATGGGAAGAATGTGACAGATATTGATGACATTGACATACACGATCATAGTCTGGGTTTTTAACCCAGAGTGGTATCTCAGGAAGCATCCTTTGTAAAGTCTCTGAATCTTGCTCAACCAATGGACGGATTTCAGGATCCTGATAAACCAAGCATGAACGTAAATAAACTCCAGGAAATGCTAACAAAGGTGACGGATATTCAAATATTCACAGGATGCAGAACATACAACATTATTTCCTTCAGCTCTCCTTCTATGTTCCTTTTTCCCCATTTATCATGAACAAATACCAAACATTTTATTCTTTTCTTTAGCATCAGGAAAATGAGGGAGGAACCCTGATTTCAAGTCACCCCAACTGTGGCTTATTTTTTTCTTAAACCCAGCTCTCAGAGCCTGCTGCTAGAATCATAACTAAACCCTGAAATTCATACACGCATGCAAAATTTCAAATAACACAAGTGTATGCATGTGATTAATCCAATATTATTCACTTGCATTTGATCACTACAACTCCCACCAGTTAGCAGAGTGAAAAATTTAACTAGTTAATTCATTCATCAGGCGGATGCAGAATGAGTAAAGAAACAAATTCCCCGACTGTCAACCAGCAACAACACTAATAGCATCAGATATCCAACGTAAATCATATCCTTTAGTCAAATGATTTGGCATGCTATTTTCTTATGCAATCTTAAAATTTGCAAAAGCCATTTCTGCCTAATGAATAACTATTAATCGTCTAATAAACTAATTATCCAACAGAAAACATCAGAGCGATGCACACATTTAACCAGTAATTTCTGCATAACATCAAACTATGGTTCGTTTGATTGCCAAAAAAAAGGATTGAAACAAGCATAAAAAAAAATTAATTCAATCCCATGAGAAAACTCTAAGCTTAAACTAAGCTTTCTAGTACATTTTAACACAAAAAGAACATAGAAAAGGAAAAAAAAACCAAAGATTACCTTGACATCGCTAGGCTGGAAGTAGATGAAGAAATAATAACCGATCACGAGACCCGACGAAATCCCAACTCCAAATCCACAAAAACCCAACACAGTACTAAAAAACCCCATCAATGCAAAAAACCAATAATCCTTTTTCCTTTTTTTTTGTTTGAAGTTTCCCTGTGTACCAAACAATCCCCAAAATCAAAAAGTTTCTCGAACTTTCTTCGGATCAATCACTCTCTTCAAAGAAAACTCCTCGTGTTCCCCAGAATTTACTGTTTATGTCGGTAAATCAAATGGAAAAAAAATGGAAAACGAAAATGGAGATACTATGCAGTTAAAATAGTACTACAACGGTGGAAATAATGGAATGACGGTATTGTCCTTCACCGATCTATTTTTTTTCATTTCGTAACGAAATTTTGTAAGTTTATTGACCAAAAAAAAGAATTGTGAAGACAAGATCTAAAGGACGGGAAGGTGAACAGCTCACGGACCTCTTCCGACAGCCGTTTCTTTGAGACTGCGGAGTGGCGGATAATCAAAGCCAAGTATAATTATTTTCTCAATTAATCTTCACTTGGTTTTTCTCTCTTTGGGCCACCGCCTGTGGGGCCACTCTACGTGGCGATAAATCATTGGATTCGTTTCGAGTTTGGGGAATGATTTCGTGATCGGGTCGGGTCAGGTCCATGGTTGAAATGACTACATTGTTTGACACGTGGGTTGAACCCTTCTAATCAGGGGTTCGGTTAGCTAGCTGTATTAAATAACGTGCACACGGGGTTGCCGGCTGCGGAAACTAAGGTACCGATATTACCCATGTGATTTAATAAATAATATAAAATTGGAATGGGTATTAAGGTCTTTTGTGGCCGAATCGTGGCTACGTCCCAACAAAAAGTCAGCAAATAATTGAATGGGTCCAAAGGGAAAAGGATGATAAAGGATATAGAGCAACCCTCCCCATATCTACATTTGGATTCTTCATCGCTTTGACGTATCCACTCTATCTAGTTTGTCTCCGTCAATATCCATTTCCACGTCCAGGTGTCCTTATCAACCTTCCCTAAATGGTGTCTGTCGTAAACAAAGACAAGATCCTCTCTTTGCTCCATTTTCCAATTATTTAAAAAAAAATTACTTATTTTCAAAGTAAAAGGACACACTTTTCCACGTATTTAATGGTTTTAAAAATATGACACATGTCTAAATGGCTAAAAAGCCTACTCCTTGCACGTTTGATTATTAAAAGCTTAAATAGCAAAAAAATATTATTAATAATATTTTTTATTAATTAAATTTTTTATTTTTTATCACACTCAAATAAGTTATTTTTTTAATTTTGTATCTAAATATATTAAAAAATTAATCATCAAAGGAAGTAATACTATTTAATAATTGAAGTATTTGAATAGCAATTAATGTCGAGCGAGTAAAATCTCACAGAGCATTGATTTTAAATAAGTAAATAATATACTGTTTTTAAAATTTAAATTTTTTGTAAGTTAATAAATGGGCAATAAATAGGGTTTCATTCATTTCTTTAAATTGATGGATGTCCGTTGTATGGTACAAAGTATTTTTCTCATTCATATAAATATTTTATTGTCGATTACACTACGACTTTGAGTCATTATATATTGAGAGGATAATTCGTCTTATTTATTATATATCATTTTATCATTTTTTAAAGGTGAACATTAAATATTATATAAAAATAAGATGATTTTTTTTCACATTTTATTTATTATATTGTACATCAAACATATCATGTTTGATTGGGTTTTTAACAACTCTACTTATTGTTGTTGTATGCAATTTTTTTAATTAAAATTAATACAAGCTTTATTACTAGGATCGTTTTAATTAATTGTTTTTCCTTTTAATAAAATTTCCAAACCCCAAACAAACTGTAGAATTCCAAATAGGGCAAATTTTAAAACTAAGCCCAACTTGTAAGGCAAACGGGGTTTGAAACGCGGCCCAGTTTGTATCAGCACGACGGCCCGACGAGTCGCTCACACTTCGCATGTCTGTCGCAGTCGGTGACAGCTAAAAACAAAGGGGCAGATGCTCGTTCCGGAGCCTCGAAGGTACTCTCATTTGCAGTGAAAGGGGAAACGAACATGGCAAACAACAGAAAGCAAATTTGGTTACCCAATTTTGCCCGGGAATCCGAAATTCTTTCCTTTCAGATCCAACATTTCCCCCTAAAAGAACCAAATCATTGAGGAAAAAACAGGAAAGGAAGAGAGCTTTACCATGTTTTCCATTCACTAAGTGTTTATTAACTGAGTAAACCTCAAACTTAAATCGCTAAACATCGCTGTCTTTTGCCATATAAACAAAAGCCGATGGCTTAATCACACCATGAATCATCATTGTTGTCTTGTGGATAATTACAAGCTTAGCATGTGGGTAAAGTAATTACCCATAGTCAAAACCACTTGATAATCCCCGATAACCTAAATGCTTTATTCCATTATTGGCTGGCCTATGTGACACTAACAGTAGGATAGTTTGGTGTTATTGAAATTAAGATAAAGTTTACTTTCTTTGTCCATGTCATGAGTGGGATGGTCACATAGTTTGCTTGACTATATCATCATCTTAATTAAATCATAATGTGAAAACGGTCTAATCAACATTAAATTATCAAATTATCTTTCACTCTGATTTTTGATTGATATTCGAATATTTAATTTAATAATTAATATAATCAATATAATAATAATATTTTGAATTCTCTTTTTTTTTTTTAATAAATTAAATAAAAATGTACTTCGTACTTGCTCTATAAAGTGTAGGCATAGTCACCCCCAACATTCTTAAATTTTTACCGCATTAACATTACGTGCTCTCATTACATTCAGCACTTTCACCAAAGAGGGCCATAACCCATGGATTACACCGAGTAGTTGATTGTCCATCCCAAGAATGGACATTTGTTGAGCAAAATTTATATTTAAACCAATTCCAAAGGATTGCCTTCCACAAAACCATGCCATCGTTTTTATAGCCTTTTATTGATAAACAAGTTCACCAACCATAAGGTTTAATTGAAATTTATGATTAAATATTTGTGGCAGTATTTAATCATGTTGTTAAATGAATTTAGATTTCTTAAAATTATGTTAAATATAATTTTAATTATTATTAGTCTAATTATGACGTGTAACTATACGTAATTATAAATTTTAAAAAATTTCTTATTTATTTGATGTGAGATTAAATTATTTTGTTTACTTTTATTAGTGTGATATTTTCTTTCATTTTGGACATGAAACCGTTATACTCTGTTTAAAAACACTAATTTAGTGGGATCTACAACATGTACATTTATAAATTTTTTAAAATCTTTTATTTATTCGATATGAAATTAAAATATTTTAACTACATTTTTTTGAAAAGGGTTTAGACTAAATCAATAAAATGATTGTGTACATTAATTACAACATGTTGTATAATACTCCTATTGCAATTTGCATGATATGGAGTACAACTTATTGATAAGCATGTGAGTTATTCGATATTTCATACCACACATACATGAGGTGATGTTAAGATTTGTATAAGAATTTAAGTGATCACTAGTTATAACACGAGATTAAGTTTTGTAGAGGTAGTGATTTAGGTTCAAAATGTTACTGTATTCCAAATTGTTACAATTAGTTACGAAAATATTTAATATAAATAATTAATTATATATTTTTTTTTATAATTGAGATAGGAGGATTTGAACCCTATTATTTAAGTAAGTTATATACTAACTAATAAATCAAATACTCAAATATTAATTAATTATATGGTGTTAATGTTAAATGATTTAAGATAATTGGTTCAATGGCTAAAACCTATGAAAATGGTTGAATTTTAATATATTATGATGTGGTAATTATTTAAATAGATGCAATGAGATATTAAAATATTTATCCAAAGTCCATCAATACAAATCAATTTAAAATTTTATGCCATTTAATTTAAAGTAAAATAAAAGGTTACCAATTAGAGTGTTGCGAGAGATTATATTATTTTTATTTAATCATTAAATGTGGGTTATAAGATAAAAAATCAAACATCAGCTTTTGTTATATAAAAAAAGTAAAAATTTTTGAAACAATAAGAAATATTATTTACTTATAAACAAAATAAATGCAAATACCAGATTTTAATACAAAAAGGGAAGAAGTATAAAATACGGACAACAGCAACAATGGCCGATGGAGACGGTCCAAGCGGGGAGAAGTATTCACCGCCATGGAAGCTCACTCTTACAATATTCTCACTCTCTCCTTTTTTTTTTTTTTTCTCTTGTCAAAAAATAGCTATTCTTATTATTACTTTATTGTAATATACTCCTAGTATTGCTTTAGTTTTTTTAATTACTAAAAGACTAAAAAAAAATTTCTCTCTGAAAATCTTTACTCGCAAATATATATATAAAAAACTAAAAAGCCTCCTCCTCTTCTTTATTCCTTCTTCGCTTTAGGGTTTCAGGTTTATGTCTTTAACTTCGACCCCTCTCCCTCCCAAATTTCCCCAATTAATCATCGAATTTCAATTTCGTTAAAATCAAGACGCAGGCCTTTGCTTCTCCTGATTTTTAATTTGAGGGCGTTTTTGTTTATCCAAAGCGTGATTTTATCTCTTTCATTTTCTAGGGTCTCGATCAGGTGTTGTTGAGATGCTAGGAATAATCGGATCAGGAACAGTCTGATCTTGTCGTGGTGACCGTCCGATAATCAGGGGCGGTGGTCCCCTTTGTATGGAAACTCGGAGCCGGAAGCGGGCGGAGGCCTCCTCAACTGCCCCTTCATCATCATCTTCTCCCTCCGGTCCCACCACTCGCTCTAACAAACGCGCTCGTCTTACTTCTTCTTCCTCCTCTGCCGCCGCCGCCGCCACCAATACCACCACGACTCGCTCTCGCAGTTCCCGCGCTGCCGCTGCCTCAATGGACCCCACCACCACCGAATCTTCTTCTGGTTCACGCCGCGATCGCCGTTCCAGCAAAGCTAATCAAACCACAACAAGTGACAGTCCGAATCTCGCTTCCGATAAAGGCAAAGAAAAGGAACATGATCTCAGGATTCGTGATAGGGATAGGGATAATAGAGATAATAACAACAACAATTCTAATCATCCTGAGAGAAGCTTAGGGTTAAATATGGATACCTCTGGAGGTGATGAGGATGATAACGACAGTGAAGGCGGTGTAGGGATTTTCAACCAGAATCTGACGTCAGCGAGCAGCGCCTTACAAGGCTTGTTGAGGAAGCTTGGTGCCGGGCTGGACGATTTGCTGCCCTCAACAGCTATGGGTTCCGCGTCTTCATCTCATCAAAGCGGGAGGTTGAAGAAGATTCTGTCTGGATTGCGTGCTGATGGAGAGGAAGGGAGGCAGGTGGAGGCATTGACGCAGCTTTGTGAGATGCTTTCAATTGGGACTGAGGAGTCCTTGAGCACCTTTTCTGTGGATTCGTTTGTTCCCGTGCTCGTTGGATTGCTTAATCATGAGAGTAATCCTGATATTATGCTTCTTG